CTTCCCCTTCCCCTTTCCCCTTTCCCCTTTCCCCTTTCCCTTTCTTCCCCAAATGTTTGGGGCTAAAGGAATCCCCAAACCATTGAAGGCTCTGAGAACGTGCTACGGGGCCTGTCACAAAACTGATCCCATAGTGGGTGCTCTCTACCACTTCAGCTTGCCTTTCTCTCTAAATTTAAGCTTGCACTTCATTTAAATCTGAGCTGGTTGCGCTGCGTACAAATCATTAATGGGCATCCAGTAGTAGAAGATGTGCTCATCTGTCCAAATACTTTGTGACTTCAAATTCACAAGAAGATTCACCTTCTCAAGGTTTGTATATCAGAGGCTTATCCATATCTCAGTTGAACGTTCAGCTTTTTCAGGCCCATGCTGCAAATTCAGCTAGAATATCTCTTCCCCTCGACCTAATCTGCTGCAGCTCTTTTAAAGAGAACTGAGATAGTTGAATGTGACATGCAGAAATGGTATTTCACATAATAAAGTGCCATGTTGTGTTACTGGGTTTCAGTCATTTGACTTCTATTATGCCTTCTCCTCCACTGTGAAGCGGCACACCTGTTTGCAACCTCTCACCATTGGTCCAGTGAACCACCTTTTTTCACCACTGCGGAAGATCATGCCACAAATTTGCCTTGGAGGGGTGAGGAAAATCCTTTATTTCAGGTGGTCCATGCTTTCCACCTGCACGGCTTCAATCTGGAGGCAAACTCTTCTGCAAATGGGTTGAAAAGATAACAAATTTCTGGCTGCCACATGGAAGCCTGCAGGATAGGCAGCATGCAATTAGACCGAGCATTGACACTTCCTTAAGACGGTCACCGTCTTCCAAATAAGTCTGTTCCTCAACAACTTTCTTTCTGTGGTTGTTCTCTTGCTCAGACCTTTTGGGATATGTGCTACTTTTTCTAAACTCTTTTCTAATTGAGAAAATGTTGCTTGCTTATATAAAGTTAAATAAGCATCAAACTGTAGCAGTTGTTAATATCTCTGGCAGCTTCTCTGCCATGGACAGTAGTGGTTGTATTAGCATGTAAAATGCATGCACAATATAGTATGAGCAATGGCAATAATAATATAACATACAGGCAGTCCTGAAGCTTATAGCTTTACACATCTCTTGACACATTTGAGGAAAAGGTTTACAATTCAGAGTTTGTATGCAGAAAAGCCAGGATTTGATGCTCCATCTAGAGATGGAGAAGAGCATAAGTAGAAATATGAATAACGGTCCCACCTAAGCCACTATCACCCTAACCTGTTGGTAGTAGGTCACCATGGTGCTAGACCTCGATACTATCAGCAAGAGTTGGGCTGGCTGGATAGGTAGGTAACCTGATTAATGTAAGGCAACTTCTGTTATTATAACTTGTTTCATGAAAAATAATACGGTGCAGTCATATCTTCTCAGTGTTACTATTTTACAGTGTATATTAAGGAGGTACAGCAGACTTCATAGGACATTACAGTAGATTATTCAAGAAGCTAATTCGGTTATTCCCAGAAGTCTGATAGCTGTGACAATTGAGCAGATCCTTGGTGCATTTTTTGTGAATAGCAAAATGTACATAGACAACAGTAATCAGAATCTGAATGCTTAAGGGCCTGAAGCTGTACAGATTTGTTGGGACCATACCTCCAGATGTCCCATCCAGCATGGCTTTTTGCAGTACCACCATATATGGAGAATAGGAGGTTCATTTGGAATAGTGCAGCATGTTTGATAGGGCTTATTCAGAAAATGTGACTTTTGCAACAGGAGGACTTCCAGACAATGTTGGTGGGTAAGGGTTATTATAGTGAGTGGAACCATCACTCACAGGATTCAAGTTATGACCCATGTTGGTTATCAATTATGAATAATTTCCCCAGGAATGTATATTGTAACACATCCTCCATTGGGGGAAATTGTCCTTAAAGTCCTTTAAACATTACCTCCTAAACTGAGGGTAATAACCCCTTTGTTTTCTGCTTGTGCTCTAGCAATCTGCAATTATCAGTGGGAAAACGGGACCTATGATTAGATCTCTTTGGTGGTTCGGCTAGATGGCTGTCTTGTCCTTAGTTGGACTTTTGGTTGGAGCAGGCAGGAATACTGGCAGGCAAGAACAAAGAGGAGGTGAAACGGATTGAAATCCTGAAGAGTTTAGCCATGTCCTTCCACAGCTCTATGGGTGGAACTCAACCTGGATGTTACTGTCTCCAAGCCTAGCCCTGGAAGATCAGCTTCAGTTCATCTAGCTGAGTGATTAAAAGTTTTGATTTTATGGTATCTCAAAAGCAATTATATTTCATTATTAGATGCAACTGTTAAGTCATCATTATTGAACATGATACACATTAGCTAGGAACTGCTCCGCAATGATAGCAGCACATGAGTCCTTTGCTTTCTGAAAAAAGCATTAACCATTTCTCTTCTTGTAATGCAGTAGCTAACCTTGGCAGCCTGCGCTTCTGAGACTTGCTTTTTTAAAGGGCTGCTGCAACACCCAGCCTTCTCTGTACTATGTATAGTTTTAATGATGACAATATTCCTGTGTTATTATTTTAGTACTACCCCTTTTCTGTGTAACTGTAGCCTCTGGTTTTGAAGAAAAATCTCAAAGGACCAATAACACAGAGTTAGCTAACACACCTCTCATTAAATTATTTTTAAAGAGCAAAGATGTATGGAAGACTGCAGGTGAAATTAAAAAAAGGTTCTGATAGTTATCTTTTTATAACTTTTCATTATAAAGGATCCAATTTGCTAGATTTTGCCTTTTTAGTTCACAGAGTATTCTAAGCAAGATGTTTAAGGAACACATAAAAGGAACAAATAGAGAAAAAGATAATTTTTTTCATCTTTTTGAAAAATGCAACATATATACCAATTTATTATAATACGCTTTGATGGCTAAATGAATTGCTAGCCTGCTTAGTTATAAGCAGTCCTTTATGAACAAAAAAATACGGATATAGTATCACTGGCTAAAAGAGTGATCTACAAATTGGCAAGATTGGGGAGAAAACTCAACTTTACCATAAAAATTATTAGCCTTGGCCAAACCATTCTTATTTCAGCCTTGGAATGGAAGAAGAAATGGGATGTACTTTAAAGTTTTGTTGCATGAATAGATTTTTAAATAGGGTTATATATTATAGGTTGGAGATTACAACTGCCAGGATTCCAAGTCCAAAACAGGATTGCAGCCCTGTTTCTGGAAGGTGCCTATGGGGATGCTGCAGAGGGCTGTGTCTTTCTAAAATGTGGATTCAATGTATTTGCAAGGCATGTGGAGATGTGTGCATTCCTGTTGCTTTTTCTGCATAGTTCATGTAGATGATCAAAGCTACTGAGGTCAGTGGGGAAAAAAAAGCACAACTCAGGTTGCCCCCAGGTTATTGTATAAAATCCTTTGCAACCTTATGCCTGCCTTAATGGCCTTAAATTATTTTCTGGATGCAGAAAATAAGTCTATGGCCTGTTTATAGACAGTTTTTTCCACTTGAGAAATCCTTACCGAAGGCTATTTTTCTTCCTGCAATTGAAATTTGCAGTGGAGCCTTTGATATTCATATTGCTGATATTCACTTGTACGTATCCCATATTTTTTAACCCAGATCAGAGGAAAACTGTTACAGAATGTGACAGGAGATGGTGTCATAATCTGCACTTTTTTTTAGAACGATCTGAACAATACAAAAGTGTTAATAAACTACTGCATTATCCCCAGAAGATGTATGTCCCTATCTATTTACTAGGTTTTGGTTATGTTCTCCAGGAATTGAATTCCTCATGACAACCACTTAACCATAAGTGAACTCTTTTCTAAAAGGAATATACTAGAGCAGTTTAGCTAGACATATTTATCTAGAGCTCAATGTATGCTAGGTATGAAGAATAAGTAACAGAAGTTCCATAAAAGACATTTGATCAGCATTTGTTGTTTAGAATATTACATAGAAGAACCAGGCTTAAAATCATTCACTGCCCTAGCTCAGATGATGCTAAGCTATAATGTGGTTTGCTTGCTTTTAGTTTAGTGTATTGTATGAGCCCACATTTACAGCTTAACATCCTGTACAAGCTAGCCCATGTGGCCTGTTCAACAAATTATAATTTTTTTTTTTAAAAAACCCTCAGCTATTGTTTAAAGTAGACTGGTTTTTCTAAAAAAAAACCTGGCTTAATATCATTTCTAAAACTCCTGAAACCTCAAAATGCTAGTATGTAATGCTTGCTTTTTTTTATTGCTTCCTCCTTACCCTCCCTGTACCCTGTTTAGATCTCAATGAATGTGGATTGAAACCAAGGCCATGCAAACATCGATGCATGAATACCTATGGAAGCTACAAATGTTATTGTCTGAATGGATACATGCTTATGCCTGATGGATCATGCTCTAGTAGGTTAATTTCTCATTGTTTCTTTCTTTTCTTTTTTTTTACAGTGGAATTCCTTGGAAGCGGGGGTTAAATTGCCTTAAGCAAAGGACTCTGTTAAATGAGACCAAAAACAAAAAGAAGAAATAGCATTCCATTGGTTTTATTTTCATAAGATAAAGTGTATCTGATACAAGACCTTAATACAACAGTCATTCTTTATGCGACTCACAATTGTCACATTTGGAGATGCAACAATAAAGCAGGAATGATGGATGTTTGTTAAGTTACAATACTCCTACCAGGCTTCCATGGCCAGGTCTTGACAGTATTTGATTAATCTTCTGACATAGGTTGGCTTCTTAGCTTATATGGGCAGTAGATTTACAGACAAATCTCAGTTAGTTAAGAATCTTTGTTGCAGACAGTAATGAAACTATCCAAAATAGTTGATTGTTCACCACTGGGTGAGAGTATGCAAATTACTTTTGCACTCTCAGCAATTTAAAATGCTTGCTGCTCATGCCAAGAATTAACAGGCTCTTGATGTAGTGCAGTGTTGTTCAAACTTGGCCACTTTAAGATGAGTGAACTTCAGGCTGGCTGGGGAATTCTGGGAGTTGAAGTCCATTCATCTTAATGTGGCCAGGTTTGGACAACACTGATGTAGTGCTTGGTAGCCTTCAAGCCAAGCAGTTGTTGTACATTTACATGACCGCTAACTCTGGCATGAGAGCCACTGGCTGTTCTCTCAATCCTCAGTCTATTCTCTGTCTCTGACTCCCCTCTCCCCTCACTATGAGTCACAAAATTCTTGTCCCTCTCCCTCCTTCTGGCTTTGAGGGATTGTCTCTTCCTTCCATCTCCATTTTTATTCATCAGGAACTCCCCTCATATTTCAGTCTACATCTATAGAGGAATGAAAAGTAGAAGTTCAGTGTTAACAGAAGACTATGAGTTTGAGAGAATTAAAATCATGTGACCCACCCTGAAAATCTAATGAAGGACAGTCCATGCTACCATCTTAGGATTGTATGACTTCATTCTGCTATAGTGTCCTCTCCCTCTCCCTCTCAGTCTCAAGTGGGGCATTCTCTGTGTGTCTCTCATCCGTTATTTGTCTCTTCCTGCTTCTCCTCAATCTTCACCCTGCTCAGAGTCAGATCTGCTAGTAGGTTTAGAAACTTCATTGTTAACCAGTCAGGGAGTTTGGACTTGAGAGGATATCAGAAATGGAACTATCAGAGGAGGCTGATATCTGCTTTCTGCCAAGAATGTTCTGTGTACTTGTAGCCCTTCCAATGGATTAAATATCCAGGCCTGCCCCACCTGTGCTGAGTGTTCAAAATACACAGTACTCCAAATGGTTCTCCTCCCATCAACCCCTCATCAAGATAAATCAAGATAAATAATTTTTCCATTGGCTTTCTCTGTTGCTAAATTTCATTGCAATATTATTTTAAAAAGAACTTGACAGCATGGAACCTTATGAAGCATTTGATTAGGATGATGATTTCTCTGCAGATGCTCTCACATGTTCAATGGCAAACTGTCAGTATGGCTGTGATGTGGTTAAGGGGGAAGTACGCTGTCGCTGTCCTTCTCCAGGCTTACAGCTGGCACCAGATGGCAGAACTTGTATTGGTAAGTCAAAAGTCATAAACATTTATTTTCAGTCTTCCATGAGATGTGGGAAATTCTGGATAGCCTTTCAGAATCAGTTTTCTTTGAAGGAGGGAACTTTACAAACTGAAGGAGCTTTTATAACAATCTATTTACTGGGAAGTGTTGAGCACATATCACACCTATGCTGAAATAATAACTCTTAGAAACAACTCCATTTCTGATACATTAGTGGGAGTTTTATATCCTTGTTTCTTTGAATTCTGTTAACTAGTATGCATGTTAAATTTTTAAAGAATTGTACAAGAATTCTGAATAAACACATGAACACTCTTAGCATGAGTTAGAAATATGCGCAGTGAAAAAATAATAATGATGAAAAAATTCTGTGCCATTTTTGTTTTAAATTTAATAAAAATAACGGTAAATGAATCATTCACAACTGGTGTGGGAGAAAAAAAGAGAGAAGCAAAGAGTCAATCTGGTTCTTGAAAATGCCAGATTACCTGAATGATCTTTTTTAAGAAGTAAAGAGTCTTCATACAGTATATTTTCCACCATCTGAACAGCTCATTCAGAAATAGTTTTGGGAAATAAAGAACATTATAAGACTGAAAGAATATACTAAAAGAAAGGAGAACATCAAATGACCATTGAAATTGATTTGTTCATTTTAAATGGCTGTAGGAAATCATTACAGAGTTTCTAAGTATTTTTCTCTATATCACAATATTTGTCAGAAGTAAAACTTAACTGTTTTTGAAACTGTTACAGACATAGGTACCTGTTCATAACCATGATGATGCCAAAATGATGAAATGCATGTTTTGTACTTGTGTTGCAATGTAGCATGCAAGTACATAAGGGACAGAGTTTGATTTGTGATATATGTTTCATAATATGCCCTCCTCCCACCCTTGCCTTCTCCTATGGACACTTACAACTACAATATGAATTTAAATTACAGGAAGGCAGGTTCTGAAGAGAAACTTAATACTAAGGGCAGTTTGATAATGGACCAATTTTGAAGGAACCATTCAATGGTACCCCTTGATTAAAAACTCTCATCTCTCAGGACCCTGGAAGTGTGCCTGCTCTGTAGCAGCGCCTGCCTCTGGAATGAGGTTCCTCCCGAGATCCAGATGGATCCCACTCTGCTGTTGTTTAAAAGAGCCATGGAAACCTGGCTCATCACCTAGGCCTTTGGTGAGGAAACGTGAAGACCCCTCACTTCATCACACTTGCCATCTTTTATCTTTATTTTTACTTTTTATGATGTTATTGTAATTTCTTTGTGTGACATCTGTGAGCAGCCAACAGTCAGCCAGATATTTAGACTGGATTTGGCATTTTTATCCACGTATCAAGTCCTTTCCAAGGACCTGGGATAGGCAA